TAGAGGAGAGCAGACAAAGAGTCTGGGGATATTAAGGAATCATGTCATTGGAGATAGAAAAAGAAGACAAAATATACCTTTTTCCCGGCATAGCTATTAGGTAGTGAACATCTCATCTTTCCATATCACCTTTTTCTATGAGGGCAAGTTCTCGTCCTCACCAGCAGAGGGAGCCATCCTGTCCAAAAACAGCAAAGAAGTTTCCGCTTTGTCAACTATGAACAGACAAAAAGGGTTTTATATAAATAGTAAAGTGTCTTTCTTATCTTGAATTTTTATTTTCATTATCAGTGCTGAAACAATGAATCGATTAGTCCTCAACAATTCTCATAATGATTTATCATTTAAGTAATTTATTAAGAAAAAAATACAAAAAATTCAAATGTGAGGATTTACTGCTTTTCTTTGTTTAGTATCATTGTGAATTGAATATTATTGGGTTTTAGACTGTTGGTCGTACGAAACAAGACATTTGAAGACATCACTGAGGGCTTTAAGGACATGTTATGGGAATTATCTCTTACATTTTTGCAGAATTATTAATTATTAACAACACATAACATAACCCATAACACATAAATCAATAATGAAAATCATCCTTATTTGCAGCCCTATGTAGCTTTACATTGATTTATATGTTGTATATTATTTATTTTTTTGCCAATTGGGATTTGACATTTACTAACAGAAATCTAACATCACAAGAGTAGAAATATGGATTTGTCTGCTATAAAATGACAATTTTCTAATACTATTACTTTCCCTCCTATGAATACTAATAATAATGATAGCATTCATAATAATAAAAATAATCAGAATGCTACAGCTCATGTTATATTACTTCAGTTCACCAAAGTGTCCTGCAGTGGAACGTAACTAAGTCAAGTACTGTACTGTTCATTACTTGAGTATTTTATGATACTTCACAGAGAAATATTGTACTTGCCCTGCCCTACGTTTATTTGATAGACAGATGCTTTACAGATTAAGACTTTACATAAAAAACATCATTTATAAAATATCATTATAAATTAAACTACCTAACAATAAATGAAATAAGCTTCACCTCAACCCACAACAACATTAAAGTACCTCTTACATATTACTGAATAGCTCTGCAATAATGACCCAATAAAATAATAGTACACTGACAGGGGCCATTCTAGAAGTACTTTTGATACTTTAAGTACATCTTGTTGCTAATACTTACTACTTTGAATGCAGGACCTTTACTTTTAGTAGAGTATTGATATTGTGTATTGCTACTTTTACTTAAGTTAATGATTATTTGAATACTTCATCCACCTCTGATCTACCCCTTTATTATACCATCCATTCCATGTTGCTTGTCTTAATTAGGCTACAGAATTAAATTAGAAATAATGGGCGCAAACTATTATGAATTTACTTTATTTAGAGTTGTTACATATGATTTGTTATAGAGCAACAATAATAATTTGTTTCCTCTTATGCTTTTGGAATTTTTCACATAGATCCAACCAGATACAGTTTCAAAACTGCAGTAGCTATTTAAAAATTCATATATACATTTTCAGATGATCAACCTAACTGTACTCTAAGTGTGAATCACAACAAAGCTGTGTATCTATTTTAAATGTCCCTGCAGTTGTCTGAATGAAAACCAAGCAGCAGTTGTTACTGGTGTTTACATTTCCTGCCACTTACAGCTACTTACTGCTTATTACTCTTCCTCCCAGTGTGGTTACCAAAACACAGAGTAACCCGTGGAGCTCTGCTTGACATCACATTGATAGGCACACACTGACTCACTTTGTTGGAGAATTGGCAGACAGTTTCATTTATTTTCCATTTTTCCCAGGGTAAAGCTCAGTGTATGGGTCAGTTAGGCTGCTTTTATGACAAAAGACAACAGTATTTTATGAAAGAAAAAAGTGCAGGAAGGACACAGAGAGAAAACTTGTAGTTCTACAATACAAGAGAGAAAACAGTATATGATGTATGTACCACTTGTGTATTGGCCTTGGGTGGAATGAGTAGTTTCTAAAAGAACAAGGACGGGCTGTGTGAAAATATCCAGACGGTGTCAGTGGTTGGTGCTTTTCCCTTTTCCAGTTGTGTTTTCATTGCTTGCGGTGATACAGGCTTTCATCCCCAAGGTCACATCCAGCCTCCAGACAATGCCACATAATTTCACAATTCATATTCACAGCAAGAGGGGGCAGTTAAACCAGGGCAGAGTGTTAGGTGATTTACAGAGGGTTTTTTAAAAGAAGCGGGCCCTTGTTGCAGTAAATCATTTCAATAATGACTTACTGTCTAGTAAGGCCTAATAGTCTATTACACAAAGAGAAATTAAGTGTGTTTTCTGAGCTGACCCCAAAGGTACAAGATGTCAAAAAGTCAAGATGAAGAAGAGGTATTTTCAGTGGCCACTAGATGGTATAATATATGCATGAAACGGGTTTGCGCAAGGTGACAGCTGCACTGAACTTGAATAAATATTATGACAATTTTTATTTTATTTATTTTATTCTCTTGTGGTTGATGGGATCTAACAAAGATCTTAGTTTGCTTAATGATTTATGCACCACGTGTATCAGGGCGTAAATATTACAAATTAAGTGATGTAGAGAAGAGAAATAATTTATCATTTATTTTTTCAATATTTAAAACACATTAGCATAATTTAATCCACCTTTTCAGAGGCTTTTACCAGCAAACGGCATATGAATTAGGCCAGGCCTCAGGGTACTAGGATAATGACAAAGCTTTAGAGATTTGTAAAAAAAAAAAAAAAAAAAAAAACTTTCCTAAGTAATTTAAGTCAAAAGTCATTTGTCTCTCAGAATCAGGCATTGGCTCTCAGTCTGTTTATTCGCAGACGTTCAAATGCAGAAAATACACAAAATGTCCAAAAACACTAATTCCAATTAAAATGACCAAAACAACAACAAAAAAATCGGTTTCACTTTTCTCTGCTGCTGATCTGCTGTCAGCGATCATTTATCTTCTACAACGACGGCGTTTCAGCTTTTCTTGACTTTTCGATTTGAATTCATTTTTCTCATCAGCTGTAACGTTTCTAGTTAAAAAAAAACTAACAAGCAGCGAACAGGCTAACAGTGATAAGATTATTAATTTATTATTAGTATATGACTTTGCTAATTCATTATTTAATGTCTCCTTTTGTTAATCAACTCGTAGCCTACACCTTTATCGATGCAGCACAAGTCATCATAACACTTTAATTCATATTATTTATTACAGACAAACAGCCTGATCAATTTCATTTAATACTTGGCTATTTCATACATTAAATAATTAAGAGTCTCAAGAGTTCAGGGTTATTTATTGATGCTGGTTAAATTAATGAAGACTGATAAATCAGATGCAACAATGCCACGGAAACATCTAATTATAAGGAATAAAAGAAAATAAAGTGTATTAGGCTGCAGGATATGGATGCCTCAAAGCCTCAGCACCCTTTTTATTAGCCTATAGCTCAGCATGACAGGAGTGTAATCAATTAATAGCTGCGTTATATCACCTTAATAAAATATCTCCCCTTGCGGGTGTTTGGTCGGGTAAAATCTAATTGTTTAAGTTATCTACCAAAATAAAATCCAAAGAAGTATTTGTATTTTTATTGGTTGGTAAATGAAAGCAGGAGAAAAGCTGTGAGATCTGCTCTGTTGACCGGAGACGTGAAACACGGCAGAGGTCACGATCCGGATCTGCAGCGACAGATGTTTGTCCACTTAAACCCTGAGACAGAGCTGGTTTCCACACTTCATATTTAATTAACAATACTAACCCTTAATAATGTTCATTTTCAGCTAAATGAAGAGAGGAGCAAGATCAGGTAGGTAATAGAAAACAAACAAGATTTCCTTTTATGCTGCAATAAAATGACAGTCTGAAAATTAATTTCTCACATACAAATGGACTTTTTTAACGAGTCAAATATTCTGCTAATAAAACGAGATAATTTCAGTAGTTGTTTCCTGTGTCACTTATTTCAGAATCAGAAATAGACATCAGTGTTTATGGGGCATTGCAAAAGCTGAGTGGTGCTACAACGAATAGCCGATGTAAGTACCCTATAACCGATTATCACTCATTTAGTTTAATGAAACACTGTTTAGAGCGTACGTGTATAAAGACCATATATAGTGTGAACAGTAGGTCAATGTAGCCTACTTGTTTTTAAAATTATATTTATAAAATGCAAGAATTGGTTTGCGCACAAGCTGAGGCCTACCTGGTCATGGCGAATCATGATGCAGGCTTGCCAAGGAAATAACAAAAATGAGCACATCGATTTAAATGTTTAATAAAACGTAGACAGATTGAATCGGTATCAACCTGCCAGGCGTTGGTCGGTGCCCAAAATGTCACCAAAGAAAAAAAAACGTCACATAAGGCGTCACCGGGCTCCCGACAAACCTGTATGGGTGATGAAGAGTTAAGTTTTAAAAAGATGGCATATCCTACGAATTTATTGTCCTGATGATGCCTTCAAGTGAAGCAGGGAAAATGTGAGAGACGACTTTCCCGTTTTATTTTCGACTGGTACTGCTGAAATCTGCTTTCTTGTGAACTCGGACTTTTTACGCGCGGGACTTTGTTTTTTTTCTGGTTGCATTAGTTTAAAACATTATCAGCACAGCAAAGTAGGCACTAGCTAAATTAATCTTAAACAATTCATCAAAATCAATAAACTATTTTGTTATCAGAAACCACGAGGATACAGTTTGCTCCCCTGCTTTTGGATTAAGTTTCAGTTATAATAAATGTGTGTGGATGCAACCTGCAAGTCAGTTTAGCCTGTAGTAAAAAAAACTTCGACCCAACTTTTCTTGAACTTTTTCCCACCCGGTTGAAAGCAGCATGACGTCGTTTACAGTGGCCAATCGTGAAACGGCTTTCCTCCTCTCCGGGCCAATAGGAGGCGACGAGAAGTGCCTGTCAGTCACAGGTAAGGGTGGATGAAAAAAATTGGGTGAAAAGGGCCGGAGACTGGAGGGAGCCCGAGCTGATGGCTGAGCTATGCGGAGGAGAAGCATCGTGCCTGCGGATGTAGCAGAAACTTTCCACGGCTTCTCCCGCGGGGATGCGACCAGGAACCAACACTGGAGGGAAGAAAGTTAAGAGACAGCAGTGCTCCACGGAGGGAGTAGCCTAAAATGTGGATGAACTGATATTTTCTCCACTATCCGGGCCGGTTAATTACTCAACTTGAAGAACCGAGCAGACTTCGCTTTTGGGGGGCGGAAAATGGCCGTTCGTGGCAACTCGCTGATGCCTTTCTCAATCCAAGCCATCCTGAACAAAAAGGACGATAGCAGACACTTGCCAGATTTGGACATGTGCTTCTCCAAGACGGCGTGCTGGAAAATATTTGGGGAGATGAACGGCGGGTCTCGGAGAGGTGATGGGGAGGCTTGTGTGCCGACGGACCAGAAAAGCTACGACTCGGACTCGGGACTCAGCGACGACAACGACAGCAAGATTCCGCCCGTGTGCAAGTCGGAGAAGGACGGGGACCCTGCTTCGGATGTGCCGGAAGAAAGTTTGCTGGAGGAGACGGACCATGAGTCTGCGACTGCGGAAAACGCAAAGAGCGACAGTGAGCCTAACAATGCTACGGGTAAGTCGGACAGAAAGACTAGGCTAATGTGCAGCTGTACACAAGACAAAAATTAAGTGTGGCTCTCTCATTTAAATAAAAGCACAGCGACTTAGTGCAACTTCTGGATTTAAAACAGACACGTCTTAAGGAGCCAATAACCATTTTAATACTGTAGTTTAACACAGCCGGTATACTACAGAATCATAACAAATCCTCTCATTAGGATATCAGGCTTACTTGCAAAATCTCTTCGCGTCTTGCTAACTTTTACGCACGAATTGTAGTTTTACGCACGATTGTTATTGCATACCCTGGCTCACGGTCACATTTTTATCACTGTAGCACTAACAGTTATGGATTTATATGAGTCATCGGGGCTTTAAGTTAATTTATTCTGCATTGGCATGATTTAACTTTGACAAAAGTCATACACTATCAGAAACAAGCAGTTCATTGAAGCCTATTTTGAGGAAATAAACTCCAACTAGCTGTAATGTTTAGGTCTGATCAGACATTTTCCACTTTTAATTTGAACATTACTACTGCGTCTAGCGACCTTCGATAAATGCATAGCAGTTCACAACTTGCAAAAACAGAAAGTAGAAATACCCTTCTGTGTAAGTGTGCAAACTTTGAAGTAGGATATTTCCTTGTTGTGTTAATCAGTCACAACCAAAAAAATCAGGCAACAGCTCTCATGAAACCAGCACACGTGATTCCAGCTGTATTAAAATAAACAAATACAGGAATTCACTTGCATGTTGCATCTGCGTGTTCCCCTCTCACAGACTCCAGCACCCTGGACGAGAAGAGCCTGGAGCAGCCCAAACAGCGGAAAAAGCGTTCCAGGGCCGCATTCTCTCATGCGCAGGTCTTCGAGCTGGAGCGCCGCTTCAACCACCAGCGGTACCTGTCCGGGCCGGAGCGGGCAGACCTGGCGGCCTCCCTGAAGCTCACAGAGACTCAAGTCAAGATCTGGTTCCAGAACCGCCGGTACAAGACGAAACGCCGCCAGATGGCCGCCGACCTGATGGCGTCAACCCCGGCCGCCAAGAAGGTGGCGGTGAAAGTTTTGGTGCGGGACGACCAGAGACAGTACAGCCCGGGAGAGATCCTTCGGCCCCCGCTGCTCTCTCTCCAGCCATCCTACTATTACCCTTACGCCTACTGCCTCCCTGCATGGACACTCTCTGCATGTGCGGGGAATCAGTGAGAACTCGGTGGCTGTATTTATTCATTTTATTTTATTTTTATATTATTTTGCTTCCGGGAAATCAAACTATGTGTTTTTTTTATGACAAGAGGAGGAGACCTGAGGGGCTGTTAATCTGCTCAGCGTCTCTGATTAAACTGCCTCATCGTGTTGTGCAGCCCAGACCATGGGTTGGGTTCCCAAACTTTTTCATATATTTTGTTCACATCCTGAAACACTTTAAAAAGACTCCTATCATTTAGTAAGAGTCTGTCTCGAAGATCAGAACAGTCTGAACTGTAGGTGGTTGGGGAGACTGGACCTCCTTATAAAATGTCAATATGTTAACCTCTGAGGAGTGACACAGTTATAACATTAAAGTATTCCTCTCTTTGCTCGGGAGCCCCTCAAGGACATCTGAAGTCCCCCGGACCCCACTTTGGGAACCGGCGGCCTGAATAGACTGAAAATATCACCGTATGTTGGTTGATATTTTAAATGCGCCTTCCTACCTCTGCAGTGATTGGATATAGGCATATTCCATTGACTATTCATATAAGTGTCTCTGTTACAGGTTGTGTTTTTTTTCTTGCTGTGTTTGTAAAGGTAAGATATTTCAGCACTTTTGAACATATACGTTACATTACTTCAATGTAAAAAAAAAAAGCATTATATTGTGGACATGTACAGTGTGAGACTGAAAGGAGGCGTTTTTCTTGTGTCATTGGCCTGGAAGTGATCGTGTGGCAGGAAGCAGGCTAAAGCACCGACGTCAAATTTAAATGTACATGTGTTATTTGTGTTGAATGACTGTTTAGATCGAAACACATTAAAACATATCAGGCATTACCATCATTTGGATACAGTTTTATTAGTATAAGTTTTATATTGGGACAGATATGTTTTATGTTTGGATAACAATAACAGAGATTGAACGATGCACTACAAATTAACCTAACTCTAATTTGACATTCAGTGACTGATTGGTTATAGGGGAAAAAATACATGAAGATACACATTCACTGTTACTTAGTGCTTAAGACAATAGTTCTGCTAGAACCTCTTTTTTTTTTACAAGCCCTGCTTTCTTTTAAAAGGGAAACAAACACGATGTTGCTTCCTTTTTGATCTAATCTCAAAGTTTAAATTAGTTAAATTTGGCCTACATGTAAGACTGAAATGGCTCATAAATACCTTAATTGTGATTTTGTCATTAGCAGACTTGTTTAGGCAGGCGTTTTGTGTTTGGGGAGCAAAAATAATGTAATAAACAGGAATGGACAAATATGCAGTAAATAGAAACGCGTTTATCTATCCATTTATTTTCTATACCAGCTTTCTTCCACCGCATTGTGGCAGATAAAGCGGGTTTATTATGATCGAAACTGCCTTTAGCTTTTTCTCCACAAACATCCCTATGATGTTCGTGCTATACACCGATACACTGCAGCTATCATCTGGGCCACAATGACTTTCTTCCCAAACACACCTGTCAAACAATGATGAATAGCTCTGTGAGTCCCGGACAGGGCAAACTGACAGCTACCTTTAGGGCTGCATGTCAACACAAGGAGAGGAGTATTCCGGGGTTAAGGAGGCCCATGTCACTGCGCCTAAATTTAAGTCAAAGACGGAAAGAAAAGGTTCTCATTTTGGGTTGCTGGCAGATACCAAGCAAAGTCCTTTTTAAACAGTAAAATACTTAAGGCCTAATACTGGAATTGAAGTATTACGGGAGGACTTTTAGCTTTTAGTTATTAGGTCTTCAGGAACAGCCCGAATGTTAAGTCGGGGTCAGTAAGGAGCAGCCCGTACATACATCTCTTTTCAGGCGCTTAATTCGGTCTGTGGGATGCTGTATCTCAGGAATAAAAAAAGAAAGACAGACGGCCAATAAATCACGATTGTTACAGCAGAGATGCTACTTAGGTCTATATACACAATGATAGACGGACAATTAAAGTACCAAAGATCCAAAATAACAGAAGTGTCATTTATGTAGACACAACAGCTCTGTGCAGTGACGCTGCGCTTTTACGCGCGTATGCGCCCCCAACACCCATGTAGGCTATATGTAGGGTTTTGGTCAACCCGATAACAGGCTGGTACAATAGACACGGCTTTTCCAAAGCGTGTATATGTGACGCCTCAGCATGAATACAGGCTGGTTTTGGTTGATCATTGTCCCATATTCTCTATATGGTAAAAACAGAACGGCGCCTATATATCCTAAAATCTGATCTCCTTGATGCAGGTATACACGCCACCCGAGGCCATCACCAGCGGCAATGATGCTCCTCATTGGCTGCTCTGAGGCTTTGAGGGCAGAGAGGGATACTGAGGAGTGGACCGTCCCACATAACTTCCTTTCATACCTGCATGAGGAGATATCTGATATAGAGGGACATATCGCGGCTGTTTCTCCCTTTCAACCTCCAATCATTGAAATGCAAACACCCACATCGGTGTACAGGAACCCCACCTCAGCGTCTCCCCGTTATTTTTTTCAAAATGTAGGTTTAGTGTTTGGACATACTTAATGTATTTCTTAATTAGGATCTGACTGTAAACCATATGCTGAATGATTTTGAAATCTAACAAAAAAGGGGAGACAACCACAGAAATTATATTTTATTTGCCTCCCTGTTAGGCTACACATACTAATCAATTACGCACCAGTAACAGATTGTTGTTAATATTACTCAACAGAAAGTAACCCATTCCAGATCAAAGCTCGGACTTGAAAAGAAACTCTGAAATTGCAGTTGCTCTTCTTTCTGACCTAAACTGATCTTTGACATCATCTGACACGTTGTAGAGCCGAATTATGCTTTTTCTCAACTGAACTGAAAGTTTTCAATTATTTCTACAAAAATAGAAGGATTATGAACACCCAGGCTTCCTGCCTGGATCCTTTCTTTCATAATAGGTTGTATTTGCGTCTTTTTGTGGTGGAGCTACAAGAGAGACGCAACATTTGAGAAAGTTAATGGTAGGCTATTGTAAAATGTCTCCTTTAAATGTCGTTGTAGTTAACGGTTTAATCACCAAATTACACTGCAAAAATGTCCATTTGACAAAATCTTATGTAGAATACAGTTGGTTTTGATTGTCTAGCTATTTCTGAATTAATACTTTCTGATTTTATTATTGAGTTATAATCTGCCCAATTTCAAGATTTCAATTTCAAGCCTACTAGAGTTACGAAACAAGTAGGCCTACAACAAGGGACACGACCATCCACAAGGTCTTTTTATTTAGGCTATTGGCCTATAACAAATGTAATATTTTAACAATCAATAACAGGCTATTTTGCTTTAAGATACACGTTTAAGTCGCCTGAATCAAGAATAGAAAATCTTTCTCTCGGCAATTTCATATCATGTAACTGATAACTGGCCTAATGTATTCATCACCCTGGTTATGTGTGTAATAAACTCACAAATCAAACAAGATTTTAAAGTTATAAAATAGAAACAGACAAATAGACTATATGCCTACTTCATCTCGTTATAACCCTGTGTCGTAAAATGATATATCTACCTTGTATATGTGATGGTTTTCACGTGTTTAAACAATAGCCTGTTGTTTATTTTGCACCACAACTTAGGCCTTTTTCTTCTACATCTTGAGTGGTGCTCTACTTTTAAGTCAACTATTTATTAGGCCACACTAAGCTTATATGTCTTTATATGCATAAATGTTATTCATCATCCTATTTTAAAAACAAACGCTATGCAAACTGAAAACCCGTGAAGATCAATTAAAAAGCTCTGTTTCAATGGAATTGTCTCAAATATTGATAATCTTACAGTAAATATGATCACAAGCAACTAGGCTATTCATTAACCAACCGCCGGAAATCACGAATTGATGATGCATTCATTGTTTTTTGTTGTTTTTTCTCAGTTTCCGTGCATTTTTGTGAGTTAATTATTGGGAATTCATTCACGTGCGTTCAATGCATTTAGCTCTATAGATTTTAAATTTCTCACTCCTGAAGGGATCAAATATAGCTTCTCTCCTTTTAGGCGATGAGGTAGCCTAACATGCAGCTACAGAACAAACCGGTGAAATGAAAAGAAAGTAACTGACAGGATTTTTCAACTGCTGTCTCCTCACAGCAGCTTGGTCTTGATCGTTTCTGCCTACAACCTTTTAGAAACAATTAGGCTTAATTTCCCCCACACCGCTTTCTATCCGATTGGGAAGCTGTCAATCACACACCCTCATATGCAGTTTGGAGTATACTGACCTGACAGTCACTGCCACCTGCTTCAAAGTGGCCCAGGTGCAAATTCCTCTTCATCCCTCATGTTGCAGCGACACCCTGACCCTGCAGTGAAAAGCAAGTGTGAAAGACGAGGATTGTGATCCAACCTTTGACTTGTAAAACACCACAGCATTTTACAGAAATATTATAAAACATTGAACATGAAGACGTAAATTAGTGCAAAAGAACTATCACTAATGAAAAAAGGTAACGCGTGCACACTTCGGCTACTCCATGTCCACGAAGTATCGAAACGTTTAATAAACTTTTGTGACATGGAGTAGGTGTGCAGGCATAAACTTTTTTCATTGACGCTGTTTTCTGATAGCCTTGCACCTACATGATGTATAAATACTCTCCTTCAACTCAATAACACGACAGAGTAGGCCTCTATAAGGCAGTATATTCTTCTTGGAAATACTTTGTGTCCAATGTTCTGGTAAAAACAAAACAAACAAACAAACAAATGACTCTGACAGATGTTGGTCCTTTTTCTCTGTTGCACTTTTTATCAACTTAAATTATTTCTCTAAATGGTGGCTGTTGTAGACAGTTGTTTTCTCTGCATGTAGTTTAAAGTCCCTACACAGATTCACATTTAATGAGATATAGGCTTGAGTTCAAGGTCAATGGCATAGAAGTTTATCCTTGTAATTCCTAATGAATTGTTTTATTTATTTTTTACTTTAATGAATAGTTTTGGAGTATATTTTTGAAGGATACTTCTTGGTGTATTTTTAATTTGTTGGACTCCCTATCTGAAAACATGCACAAAGATTATTTTTAAAACTTAGAATATTGTTCCTGTTTCATCTGTCTCCTCCACGCCTCCTGGCACATAATGCCTCAAAGTTCCTATTTAGCAACATTAAACTAATTAAACTACATTTTCCCCATTGGGGGCTAGCCTACATTTTACAGTAAGCATGGAGAAATGTCGCAAAATAATCTTCTTAAAATGTTCTATTTTTCACTTTATCCAAGACTGGAGTTACAATTGCCAGTAATAGTCACACTTCATTTGGTAAATACATCAGTGCGTCATCTAGCAATCACCTTACACAGCTGGTAAGATATTCCCCTAAAGTGTGGCAAACTGAGAGACTGTGGATTTAGCAGTGGAAAAATAAAATAGGTCTGTCTATTGGGAACAGGATGCTTCAGGAATATCATTAACCCAGAGGCTATGGCAGTTAAAGGGCATAACCTCTTAAAGGTGATTTTAAGTGTTTAAGTTTAGCAGCTGAGATCTGTGTGTTTCTTACAGGTGAACCTAAATCATCATATTAAGCACACCAAATTACAGATAATGCACTAAACATATTATGTACGTGTTTGTATAAAGGAGGCACACAATGTGGGCGTGTGTGTGTGTGCGAGAGAGAAAGTGAGAAAAGGACAACATAGGAAGAGAAGGATTAATAGGCCTAATTAATTATTTGAAAAATAATGTTCTTTTAAATCTTAAATAAGACATGTGTAGTGGCTATTCAATATCCTTTACTCAAGTAGCCTACATGAAGCAATGGCACACTGTAATAGCCTACTCTGACACTTTCAGGGTGTAGGCTATATAATATTATATCATGTTACTGATACTAATACTGATGCATGGACGTATAAGCTGCATTTTAATTTCTGTGTGGTTGAAGTAGGGCTTTTAATTGCTTGTATAGCAATGCGTCATATTTCATAAGATGATTCTCTGTGTATAAACTCGAAGTCCTGCAAAGAAACTGTGTAACTACGGCTGTCAAAAAAGTAGTAGTGGAGTCAAAAGTTCAATATTTCTCTCTTGTAGTGGAGTAGAAGTATCAGACAATAGAAATAGGCTACTTCAGTAACTCAGTACTCGCACTTTGACCTTTGTTACCAAGGTAACAGAGCAACGCGTCACACACAGGACGCAACCACGCCGCCGGTGTTTGGGTTTCCGGTTCTGCTCTTTTCCCATTCATGCAAAGGACTTCATGGCGATACTAAAAATTTTTGCAAACTGAAGTGCCAAATTGTGGCCTCCGGTTTGTTTCCCCCGTAGCTGTAAACAGCGGTTTAACCGAAAATCAGTGTAACTTGTTACGTCTTGTTCACAGGGTGTGAGTGGATCACGCCGAGCAGAGCAGCAGTGTTATTACAAGAAGAGTCAAAATGGCGTCTGGTAGTCGAGTGTACAGCCGTTTAATCCATCTGTGATTAACGTTAGCCTCAAAACTAGAGTCAGCAACCTGTGACTTTTTTCTAGTGCTTCAGTTTTCGGATACAGTCGGAGCACATTTTACCGTCATGTCGGACTCGGAGGAGGACAGCCAGGACAGGCAGCTTAAAATAGTAGTGATTGGAGACGGTGCGTGTGGGAAGGTGAGACCATCACAGACACACATATACTGTCTATGTTAGCTACACACACTGAGCGTTACCAGGTGTTACTGAAGAAGATTCAGACTTTCAAATCTAAATTCAACGCACCTATAGTGAGTTATTGTCAGTTGCACGACAGTATCCTGCTGTTTACGGTGCTCATCCCAGTCACCATGGCGACCGACGCCAATGCAGCTGAGTTCGCTATGGGCCAACAACATCTATGTTGTTGTGATCGCCGTCGCAACAAGGCAATATAATGTCAAAAACACGTAGCTTCTATGTTTTTTTGTTTTGTTTTGTGTTGTACAATAGAGCTCATAACGTCATACGTTGTCTAAACAATAAAACGAAATTAAATGCAACATCTCAACTCAAATGCTCACTAATGCCAGTGGACAAAAAATATTATTAGATGAGAACATCACTTTATGTCTTGTTGCTCAGATATCCAGCTTAGGAACTGACTTCACCGTCTAAAAGCACTGACCATACATAGTACAATATAAAACACATTTTATAATAAATATTACCTTTTTTAGGAAGCACAATCAAAAGTTCACCATACGTGAATTGTGATACTTGCCTTATACTCAAACACCATTTTGTCATTTATTTATTTATTAACTTAACATCTGTACTTAACTCATTCTGCCTTTGCAGGTTATTCATACTTAAAAATGTCCTCATTAGCATTGGAAACCGTACGTGGAATAGTATGATTTGCTAATAGCAGTCGAGATAGGCATGGTGTGGTTGATGGGATTTAAAAAAACAAAATTACAATAGAGCCTTTGGTCAAAATGGTCAGTTACTGATGATTGCTGAAGTGTGCCAGTCATACACAAAACCTATTTTTGTATGGATAGATGTAAAGAACAGTTTGAAGAGCTTCCTATTTTGTTGGCCTTATGTAATTCAACAGGTTGGTTGGCTATTTCAGCTAATGGTGGATGGCTGTTAATGAGATTTCAACTGGGAAGTAGTGCCCACTTGATGTCAGTATAGTTTGAGGTGAGAGATATGTAAGGCTAGAGATGCTAAAAGTGGGCAGCAAGCTTGGTATTCTATTGTTTTAATTGTCTAACCTTAGCTTTACTTCAGTTAAGAAGCCATTTTCTATATATATATTTATGCTTAAGCAATGTAAGAAAACTACTTAACAACTAAATTAGTAAATCTTTGGCAACCAATGTTAGTACTAACACCATCATACAGAAACTCTGTGTTTGTTTAATCAAGTATGTGCCTGAGCAAGTAAGTCTCTCAAAACTGATGAGATGTACAGTAATATATATTAGCCTACATAATGAGTTTTTCTGAGGTTGCCCATCCACACTGGTCATGGGTTGAGAACCAGGGTGTTCATCCCAGTCAGAGCTTGAGATGATTCAAATATTCACAGTACTGTATGAGAAAATACTTTAGAAAAACTATGAGAAAAAAAGTAATCTCTAGATAATAACCATGGAGAAATAACCTTTCTGAAATAGAAATATGCACTGAAAAAAGCTAATTATATGAGTAATTTACATATTAATCACACATTGTAATGACTGTAAAGTAAAAATATATGTTAGGATTAGTAGATTTATTTTCTAAAGTACTTCTGTAGTGTAAAGTGTAATAAAAAGAAACATTTTTTTCTAAAGTTGATAGACATCTGTAGTTTTGATTCTGTCTCAAAGATACTACAGCATTGCAGATTTAAATCTGGCACAGATCTGTTGTTCTAAACCTATTAAGTCAACCCAGCCCTTAATCCACATTGCATGTGTCTTTGAATGTAGTTATAGGCTATGTGCCTGTGGTGCTGTGTTTTACAGTAACATAGCTCATAGGCTCACTGTGAAGAAATTGTACGTTGTTGTTTTATTATGCTTTTATCTTCCATTCTAATTTTGGTAATTTACCAAAAAGGGCTCTTTTTGAATTATTGGTGTGGAGCCTTTGTAAGCTTAGAGCTAAGGCTTATTATAACAGGTAGTCATACTGGTTTTCAATATCATGCCCTAGCCCTTCCTCTTGCTGCGCTACCATACATTTGTTATACATTTTTATGAGATGTATGTGCCCATTTTAAACAGACAATAAGTAACACATTTGGGGAAAATGCATAACATCAACCTACATTTTCCCTTTTACAATCATTTTTACTATGCTTCTTTTAATGGTTTTGAACAGGAAGTATGCTGAATTTTGACAGTCCCTACATTTATCGTACACTTTGGGGCTCCAGCTACTGCTCAGTGAACTCCAAAATGCTGCACTGTACAGTATTATAAAGAGTCTGAGAGTTGCTTAGCCTGGCTCTTGCAGCTGGTGGTTGTTTTCCGTCAGTGTACCTCTCTTCTCCAGGCCAAGGACCCCTGTATGCATATGGCTTCAGCGTGAGGCCGCATTTAAGAACATTTTGTCTGGACAGCCCAAAGGAGAAATGTCTGTGTTTTCTAATGTGATGAGAACAATAGAAAGAGAGTCTTGTGTAAAGACTTTGTGTTATGAATTTCTGAACTGTGAACAAATATACCTTTTGTCTCTCTACATAAGCTTTAGGACCTCTGTTAATCATGGTTCCCTTTCAAAACTATTGGATTGAATAACTCAGTATGTTTATTAATGTAATTTGAAAGATGTAAATTAAAAGGGCCTCACTCACTTACATCTGCAGCAGGGGATTTTTTCCTAATCACACCAAACAATTATTTGCAGCAAAGCAAGGAGGTTGTCATGACAATTCAGCAATGTTTCCTCTTCACTGCATCTAGAAGCCCCGAATGAATGAGTGTGAATGTAAGGCAGAGACGTCAAGTGCTTTTCCGCTACACATCCCCTTTCGTAACTAATCTCTCCTTCCTCTGGGAGAAAGAAAATGAATGTAGCAGTAATGGTGAGACCCAATGAGAAAAATGAATGTTCACATTCTGAAAAGTAGACATTTTCTTTTGGGGGATGGGGGGCAGAGAACACACACAACTCAGTTCCCAGTAGATACGGTACATTAATAACCCTCCTCACACTGCTGCCAGGTGTCAGCTCGTCACTGTCTGAATGACTTACCTGCTTGTCTGTTTTGGGCAGAAAACAGGAGCCCTGCCCCCCATTTTAAGCAGGCACCACTGACTGACATCTTGAATGCTGTTTCCCCCCTTATTAATGTCAATTTGCTCAGCAAATTGCAATCGGATCAGTTTTTCTTGGACTGCATTTTCGGTGGTATTTTCGCTTGTGGTTGGGTGTCCATTCAGAAATAAACGGAGATGTGGGAAGGCTTGTCCACCTGAGCAAGATGTTTTTAAAATATGGAGTCTCACATTTAGCTAGGCTCTTAAGGTGTTGGGCCGGACTTAGACACAGGTCTATTTTTCAACCTAAATTAAAAGCCACGTTTTTCTGAATATTTGCTGTTCTCTTACCCATAGAAGGAAAAGGAGCTTTAGGTACAAGTTCTACACTGCATCCTGGCAATGTAATTTACAGTCAAACTCTTCATCAAAATACCAGCATTTATATCTGTCTTAACTGTTTAAGGAGAATAAAGAGCCAGTTTTGATACGATGCTGCAAAAATTCACTGCATCTCTCATATGAGTTGCATCACATGGACATAGTCAGCTTGCCATATTTTTTCCCCCTCTCTCCCAGTTTCTTGTTTCAGTAGAACTTCCCCCATTTCCCGGCATTGGTATCATTGGTGACCCTGTGCTGTTCTCTGTCGGAGTGTCAGGATTACGCCAGCTTTTACATTTGCTGGTTAGTTCCAATTGTACTTTGGAAAAAAAGGACTACATTGAGGGAGGAGAGCCAAGCTACTGGAATGCCAAGACAAATGGCCGACTAGGCCAACGCGAGCATGTGGAATAAATTTTTGCTGTCCGACCTTGTTATTCCTGTGTTGTCTGTGATTGTTTGGGCTACTTAAATGGCCGATTTTCTCCTTGTTGCGTCAGTCACCTCTAGTAATTTTTCAATCACTCTTGAGCCTGTGACATGCTCCGCAGGCTGAGATTTAAAAGGTCTATAGGTTAGTGAACCTTGAAAAGAATTGGGTGGATAAAACTTTATTCTGCACCTTCAAGGAAATGTTAATTACGAAAGCTATTGGGAAAGGTCTGGATTACACATTCGATAGGTTTAATTAACATATTGCATTTAAAAAGTCCAGGCTGGGATAAACTTAAAGGTTTGATAAGGTGGCATCCACTATCACAAATCAGTACCTCAAGAAAGCCAAATAGACTTTTGTTTACTTGAAGAACATTTGGGTATTTGTGTCTTTCCTTAATTTGAAACATCTGCGCATGGATGGAGGTAGATAAGAGCATAGGCTCAAGTGAAAGCTTAGTGGATTGACAGAAAGAATTTAGTTTTATATCCTCTAACCCTCAGTTATTGTCAAGTACCACATTAAAATGCATTTGCTGCCACATGAACACTCAGGGAATCCCATTGCTTGACTTCTCTGTTGTGTTTATGTAAGCACACTGCTCTAAAGATAGCTAATAGACATTCAGCACTTCATTTTTTCCCCTATCCTCATCCATCAAAATGAATTTAACTTGGCATGTCAAGCCTGCGCTATGAATTCCCATGGATTTCAGGAGAGCCCCTAACATGCTTTCTTTTTTTTTTCTTCTTCCTCAAACACAACAGTGACAGTGATGGAGGTTTTATAATTTGTGGCAATTATTAGGTCTGCAGTCTCTAGACATGACACATAGTCCAGCACCTGTTTTTGTAATTCCCGTTGATTTTCACTGTCAGAGCCGTGCCTGAGTAGTGCGACAGCAGAGGAGGAGGCAGACAATTACATCAGCGTACCTTTCAGTCAATCACAACATTTTTGAAGGTGTTTAAAATGGATTTGTAATGATGAAATTCATGTCTTGCAGGGTATACCTGAAGAATTATGGCTGCATGCTGGTGTGGAAAAGAGTCACATAGTGCCGTCAATGATAAATTATGCTCTTGTATTTGAAATATTAGAAAATGAAATATTATAAAAAGCTTACTTTGGCATTTGGTCAGTGTGAATGAAATCAAAGTCTTTCTACTTCTGCTCACCACCGAAATATCACTTTTTCAGGAAGTTCTTTAATATACTGTATATTTTCTCTGGAAGGAGTTTTGCAGCATCTTGCATTTTGCCCTGAGCCATGCTGTGCTTTTAGCTTAGTTTTTGTGTTATGCATATACTGTATGTGTGAATACTGTTTATTAGGCAAATACTATGCACTGAATCAAGGTTTCTCCTTTTTCCTGAAAGCCTTTTCTTTTCAAAGCATTTAACTACTTTAAATTACATATTTATTTGGTCCTGTTCATTGCTGCAGAGGTGTTCTGGCACTCACTCTCCGTGTCTCTCCCTTTGTCTCTCTGTTTCAGACATCACTCACCACCAGGTTTGCACAGGAGGCCTTTGGGAAGCAGTACAAACAAACCATTGGCCTGGATTTCTTTCTGAAGAGAATAACCCTTCCAGGTGAGACACCTTCATAATCTTTTGGGGGTGCTCGCTTGTCTGGAGACTCAGCACGTGTTGCACATAGTGGCAGACTGCAGACTTGTTATTGATTCAATAAAATACTGAGCATATGTATTTGGCAATATTGTTCTTAGACTGGCTTATTGATTGTAATACTGTTTCGACCTTAACATTTTGGATGGTTTTGTGTACTTAACATTACCAGTGTTAAAAAAGATCCAGAATATTAACAAATAGGCCTGCTGTTCCACCATTACTCTGTCATATTTGTATTTCTCGTATTTTCTGCTGCTGTTCATATTTTCTTGTCCTTCCATTTCCAGGCAGAGTTTGTTCTTCAGGTTAACTCGGGAGCTGAATGTGTCTTTTCTGGTAGCTCCTTATTGTAGAGTGTCTGCCACTTCTCAGGCTTATTCACTCTGAAAGCTCTTCTCTCCAGAGCAAACAGCACACTTTTTTTTCAGATTCCACAAGGCCAATGGACAGCTTATGTCCAAACGGGCAAGCCTTGCTCATAATTCTGTGGGCACAGTACAGAGTAAATACATTAACATTTTATATCTATATTGCCGATCCCCAAATTCAACTGATCTTTGTCCTGTACCACATAAAACATTCATGTTCTTATTTGTTTATGTTGAACTCCCAGAAATAAAGCCACAGTCTGTGTCCCCTTTAGATCTGTAAAATAAATGTTTATTGACTAATCCTATATTTAGACGAAAGCACTCGATTTGTACTTCCAACCATGTGAAATGGGGATTTTCAGCATTTAAATGGCATTTCTAAAACTCTGCCAAGGCCTAAGCTCCAGAAATCTGCAAAGTGCCTTCATTCTTTCATTACTAATAAAACAACATTAAGCAAGGGCAAATTAAGTGCTAAAAGTAAAAGTTATGCTGATTTGTGAGTTGGCTGAAGGATTCTATTTTGATTTTGTGTCAGTTTCAGCTTATGAGACTTAGGAGAACTAAACCCCCAAAAATGTTGTGGTGGAGTTGGGATGAAAAGAGCCAACCATAAGCACAGGCTGGGCTCAACTCCTTAATGTGAACTTCAACAAATGCTGTTAATCGTTTGACTTCTCTTTCCAGTAAGTCTCTTTCCTGAAACAATCACCGATCTCTCGAGTGTTAAACTGTAACCCTTGTTTAAATACAGTGCACATACGTCTGTAACACAGGGGGCAGCAACAACACCGGGTTCAACACCAGAGCAGTTAAATGGCCCATTTTCCTGGGAATTGGGTGTTGATGAGCTGATGAAGAGGAGGGTGGCTCTGCGAGCTGGGTGGTCCCAAACTTCGTTAGGACCCCCACCCTGCCTTGTATTGGAGATGTTGTGTGGCTCTCCGGGTCTCTATGGGGCTGTAAGGATCTTTTGCAGCAGGGGGAGAGTAGCCTATAGCCAGCGCTGGCCCCTCTCACCATGAAGGCCCAGCCTGTCAAACTTAATGTACATTTTCCAACGCAGGGAGAGGTGAGGCAAGGCCGACTGGCACACAACAGCCTCCTCTGTGTGTGCTCAATATAACAATACCTCTTCCAGATGTCTCTGCCAAACCAATGAGGTACAGGCGGTGAAGGGGATTGAATAGAGGTGAAATTTACTTGATAAATCTGTCAAACTCTGTGCATCCACTAAGGACAGTCATCTTATCAATGCGCCTTCTGACCTTGTTATCGGTTTTAAGGTTTATCTATTGGGCTCACTATCACTGTTTATTCTTCTTGCAAAGGATTAGCAGAAAAATGTTCTGTTCAGCTCTGTTGAGTCAGCGTGAATGTTTGAAACATAAATAAAGCTAGTGGCCAAACATAGTGGATAGGTGGGGATGGCTCTTTATAACACCAAGGAACCGTTATTCATTGCACTCCTCAATGTAGCTTTACATTGACACTGTATAGTCTAGATGTAGTGACTGTGAACTTCAGCGTTTCCTTCCTTCGCTTTAAAAAAGGGACTTATGAAGGGTTTGAGTCGTCCAGCCGTGTCCACAGTGTACGCTCTGCTCGCCATCGCCGCTCCAGCCCAGCGCAGGGCCCTCATCACACCAACATAAACTCCTCGCTGTCTGGTCCTCCCTCCTCCTCTTTTTTTGACTTTTTTTTTTTCAACCACCCCTTTCATTTTCCAGAGGAAGAAAATATTCATTTGGATTTGGTTTTTGTGCCTGTCTTTCTCTCCCTCCCTCTCATTCACTCTTTCTTTCTCTTTCCACAGGCATAAAGACAAGACTCTTCTTTTCCTCTTATTTTGTGTTTAATTATTGCTATTTTCCTTAACAGCACATAATTCACCTCACTTTCCTAACTTGGCAGGATATGCTACAATGCAAACAGCTCTTCACAGGCTAATAAGAAGTCATTTTTTTTTACTGCCAGGGTATTGAGAATGTTTAAATTAGAGGGTAAGCGTACCTATTCATCCCCCTCAATCTCTGGGATGGATATTCTTGGATGTGAGGTGTGGGTGACCTGCCAGGCAAGAGCGCATAGCATGAAAGATTCATCGCTGATTTATTGTTTCCATTATGTACATCAACAACATTGACTTTTATTATTCATCCAAAATATAGGCTCCAGTTACAGCTGACTTGTTATTTCCTCAGGATTATAGGCTTTGTAAAAACAAACACGTTAATGATTAAAAAGGATAAAAACATTCACAATGGATACCCATAAATTGCAGCATTATCATTTTTTTTGTTGCTCATTTTGAGTTTTTTTTATTTTATTTAATGATAAGCATACAAAAGTATTTTTAAGAAAAGAAAGAAGTCTAAACCTCCTTTTTATAAAGCTGATGTCTATACATTTAAATTTCCTTTTTGATATTAGATGTATTTCTGTCTCTTTTCTCCACTGTAGGCAATTTGAACGTGACCCTGCAGGTGTGGGACATTGGAGGCCAAACATTAGGAGGGAAAATGCTGGATAAATATGTATACGGAGCTCATGTAAGGTCACACAGACACACACACACAAATACACACCAAACTACTATTGCCACTTATTCTGCCTAACAATCACATCTCTAGTTTGTCCTGTAGCTTCCTCTTCTGTTCTCTGAACTTTAGTCTTAAATTCCTCGACCATTAAAACAAAAATACTTTGACTCCAATAAACTCATGAAACAAATGTGTAAATGTACAAATCAAACTGCTGTAGATATTTGTGAAATAGTAATAGGATGTACAGGAAGAATTAGTTTCCAATTCCCTAATAGTCCTGTATTGGTAACTCTGCTCAGGTTTATTGTTACAGCCTCGGTAGCTTCATTCAGAGCCTGCCACTCCCTCCCTCTGGAGCAAAATAATAATAAACTGTCCTTTGGATTCACAGCGAGTGTAGTAGGTCAACAGAGCTTTCAAAAGCAGTGCATCTCTACTTTTTACAGAGTTCTTACAGTCTGATGTTTTCTGTCCGACTGAACCAATGTTGATAATATCACACACTGTAGATCAATACTGTGAGAAATAAAAAATATACATTGTACTAGTACAAATACATGTAAATGTATCCTAGTTTGAAATGCTTTAAAGTTCAATGAAACTAAAATATTAAAAGTAATGCCCAGTAGTTGACACTAATCCGCTCATACATGAAGGAGCATAGGGAAAAATAATGCTTTTCCTTTGGAAGACTCAACAATGTGTTGATTATAATGACAGCTGAGCTCTCTGCAAGCACTGTCATTTGTGTCTGTGCGTACGAGTTTGTACATGTGCCAGCAACGTCAGCAGGTAGACATGCTATATGTGACCTCCAGAATGTCTCTAGTTTGAAGAGGCCTACTTAAAGACTATAGTTCGTCTAATCGGAGATCCATACTGCAGCACAAGATCTAATATTTAGGCACAGACAGGAAACGTGTCACCATAAACCAGCTATATGCAAGCCCACTTCTGTCATGTTTGTCTATAGAAGCTAGATAAACATTAGGTTGGGAGGTTCTTTTCCGTTCTATGAATGTACCTGGCTTTAAAAATAGTGAAAGTGACATGTTTTTTGGGGGCATTTTCTGTGCCCTGATAGTTTGTACTGTATGTTATCCACGTCGGCAGGACTGTCTCCTTCACAAGCAAAATGTCGTACATCATTGCCACATTATGACACTTTGCTTAGGGAGTTTCTCATCAGCGCTGTGTGCAACTTTCACACCTATTGTTCATCACTGCGCGTCCTGTAATCAATCATGGCTGTTCAGAGAGACTCACAGTAATTGTCAGAGACCTATAAGCTGTCGTCACCGACCTTGCGTGTTGTGACAGTGTGTGTCTGCCAAACAAAAAGCAACAGACACCCCTTCAGTCATGTTGCATCATGCAGTAAAAGTCATTTACCTTGGCTCACGTTCATTTCCAGCAAAGGTTTTAAGTAGTGATCTCAGATAGTTGAGCTATGTGATGATTTGTCTTGAATTACGCCAAGAGCTCTTGTATCTGTGTTTACACTTTGATTAATTTATGTGTTAATGTGTGTAAACAGCCCTTTCAGGCCTGAGTGTTTGCTCAAACATGGCTCTGGTGGTGTTGCACGAGTGTTTGTGCAGTGCATACAATGTTGAGTATTACCTCAATTATTATCGGAGGAGGAAAATGTCTTTGGGCAGATGGTAGATAACCAAACCCTTACTTCTTCACCGAATTCTGGACTTTGCATACAAAACTGGACACTGTGAATTTACAACCACACTTTTCATTTTAAAACGGATACATATGAACTCACACATATGTATCCGTCAGTCTAAGAACAATGTATCCTCACTTACTTAGATCATAATAGTAATGACCCTACTCATTATGTGTGAGTGAGTGTGTCCCCTTCTATGTGAGTCCGTCCACTACTCTAAGAAGAGGAGCAGTGCCACCTACTGTTCCCTTGCTCCCTCAATATTTTTAAAGTTAATATGAATGAATATGTGAGTGAATATGAAATTAAGCTGCATACTTATATCCAGTATTTCCAAGTGAGGGAGTGTGAAGGTGAGATGCTCAAATCAGTCTGAGGACGGTGCCAACATTGTTCCTTTATGCGTTTCCAATGCAGGGGCTTCTCCTGGTTTACGATATCACCAACTACCAGAGCTTTGAGAACCTGGAGGATTGGTTCAGCATGGTGAAGAAGGCCAACGAGGAATCTGATATCCAGCCTGTTGTCTCCCTGGTTGGGAACAAAAGTGAGAATTACACATACATCAACACATAAACCCCTTGTTTTTCTGCAGGGAAGAAGCATTACAGTAGTTAGTTTGTCTATCATGTTTAGAAATTGCTTTATTTTCATTTCTACCAAGTAGCTGCAAATAGTATTAGGTTATCTTATATTTATTGGACTGAGTTTTCGCATTTTGCGTGTCTGTGTTTGTGCGTGGAGGAGTGAGTGTTTGATGGTAGCAGACGTGTTTGTTAGAGCACCAGATAACTGATCGGTGTGATAAAGACAGTTGATAAGAGAGTGAGGTTTTGGAGCAATGGGAATGCTGATGTTTGTGAACTCTGGGGAGTGACTGAAAATGATTTAAGATCCCCGGGCCAACGGACCTAGGGCACTGCTATCTGCCCCCCCGCCCCCATCGTCAGTACCTGTCTGGCCCCCTCCAGCCTGAGCCTGCGCTCCTGTACTGAGTCGTTGGTTAAGAAGAAGAACTCGATGTTAACCAGAAGGCTCTCCTCCTATCAGCCTGCACCCATCGACCCATCTCCAAAATAAAGACTAATAATGATGACTCTTTTTAAACATCCTCATGACAGATGTGGAGTCATGGCTGCCGCCGTGTTATTGTAAAGTGGGGCGTCAGTGTGTGTGTGTGATGGTGACTGTCCACCTTCCTGGGCGATGATGAACGGTCAACAGAGTGGTGCCTGCACACAGGAAGCTCTCGCTAATGTTACTCAACGGGGGACCACAGGTCACGGTTTAATTCGCCTGTCTGGAGCAGATTCTCTTGTTTTCGCATCCGTTGCATCTCCTAATGCCCCGGCTTTAACGGTGGGCGCCTCTGTATTTAGGCTAGGTTTTGAGTTGTATGGGTGAGTGTGTGTACTGTAATATTTAAGTAGTGTTCATCCCGCTGTCAGGCTCCTCACCCCCACACTCGCACAGTCATTCTCCCCTTAATGGCTCTATTCCTGAGAATGGCCCATGTGTGTTTTTTTCCTGTTCCTACAGGCTGAAAAAAAGAAAAAGAAAATCCCACACAGATTGCCCCGCTAGGAGCAATCAATTACCTTGCGAGACTTTATGAATCCCTGAACCCTCCCATGGACTCGTTTTTTTTTTCAGGGAGCTTGAAGAGAGTTAGTCTAACTATCTAACACACCTACTTTTTTGTTTTCTCTTTTAGTCTCTTTAAGTATTGCAGCGTTTTTGTTTATTCTCCGACTTCAACACTTTGCAAACATCAACAATAAGTCGAACATATGAATATACAGCATTCTTTTGGGAGTGGAGTTTAGCTTTTAAATGGTTCCCATGATGTTGGACTGAGTGAGGCAACATGTTTGTGACAACTGAAATAGAAGTACAGACATAACAAGGAGCTTATAAAAACACTACAGATTTATGTCTCTGTGAGGGCTTGTCTTAGGGGAGATTGTGGTGTTTCACCACTCAGATTATTTTAGTGTTTCCACTTAGATAAACTTAAGGTGAACACTGGCTGTAGATGTCATGTGCATAGTAGTACTTACTGTAGTTGCTGGTTAGAGCAGAAAGAGTTATACATATGCAGCTGTAAGGTTTTTTTTTTACATCTACTAAAAGCCCTGTAATTATAAGTAGTCTTTTTAACATAGAGTCAACATGGAGGCTACATTCAAATGCGACTCTGTTTGAGTTACTTACAGTACATGTGCTACCATATACATCAAGCTTAAATTTCCTGAATTACCCCGTGCCTGTCTTCTAGTTTAATTTGAACACTGTCTTCTTTACCCAGTGTGCTGTAATTGAGCCCATGGACCAGACTGGTTCATTAATGATGCTGTCCCCTCCTCTCCTTACGCTGGCCTGACTACCCTCCTGTGCCATGTCACTGCTGGGGAACAACCTTTCCTTTCTTTGGCTTAGCATGGCCGGCTGAGGTTAAGTGTGCTTGTTAAGCACCAGTATGCTGCACCCCCATGCCCTCTACACTGCTGCCCAGAGCCTTGTGTTAAATAATGGCACCACTTGTAACAATTCAGAGAGGAAACCAATGAAATATTTTATTGAAGGCACACATATGCGCGCACAATTATTTATGCAACTGCATGCACACAAAGACACTCACAGGGAAACGTGCATTCGGTAAAGCGACACACTTGTGGAGTTTCTGGGAACGCATGGGTAATGGAAGAATGCTAAACTCTTGGTCTGTCTAAACATACTATAACTGTTTATTACAGCGCAGTCCAGTGTAACACCGTATGGTACACAGGAACCTCTCAAGAGAAATGTTGGCTTGTTGCGCAGTCATCTTCTCCACCACTTGAGTGTTTCATTTTTAGTAGACTAATAAGTGCTGTGTGTTTTGAAAGGGCTCCAAACGATAAATTCTGTTGCTCTTTGCTTAACAACAGCTGCATTTGGCCTGTTCATGACTGTTTGCCTTTTAGATCAGAAGTCTGAAGTCACTGATATAAAAAATATGGTACACAAGTCCTAGGTCCTAATCCATATTTAGCACGTTTTTATGTGTTGTAACATACATTATCACTGAATGAGACCATCGCCATTTTAAAATGGCTTGTGTTACAGTTTCAACTTAGAACACATATTTCTTTGTAGACATTAAGCCAGTGTCGTTTATCAAACCAATTTGTTTTTATTAAGTGGATCGCAGGACCCCTGCTCGCTCCCCACCCATCACCCTTCCCATTGCTAGCACTCTCTCCCTCAGGAACTCCAGAGCATCCATCATGGGCTTGTACAGCCCTTATTTGGGTGACTTAAATGGGTTCAGTTCTCTTAACCCCTCCTCATCACTCATGGCTTTTTGCTCAGAGGTTCTAACACTGTTCACTGCTGATCCACTCAGGCCTGCTATGGGAAACGTTCCTTTCTGTAGGGAGATAAGGTCCCCGCATGAAGAGATTTTGTACACTCAATTACATCTTACCTGTCTTTCGCTTCTGCTGTTTCTTTTTTATCCTTTCTTTCTTCTCTAAGTCCCTATCTTGCGTCCATCTCTAAAACACACTTGCACATTCATTTTCATCTCTATGCAAACATTAACTCCTTCAATCAAGCACTTAGGCCAACTCTTAAAGCTTATCTCTCACATGTGTAGGCTAACAATTCTGCTGTAGCTGCTTTTACTTACAGTAATGTCTTTTCATTGGCTCCTTGTCTCTGTTGTGTTTAACAACATGCGTGTGTTTGCTTTCTGCACGCTACGGCAGATCTCGCTGTATTCCCTTTCCCGTCGCACTTCTCTCTCCCCAGTTTTCCATTCAGCCGTGTGAAAGTTAAAGCGATACATGGATCTCCCCTAACTCTTCATTCTCATGAAGCGTGACCTTGCCACCAACATTGTTGGTCTTGAGTTGTTTGGCCTCTTGGCAAGGTCTCAGGTTGAAGTTGAAGCCTTCCCCCTCCCCAGCTCTCTCACCCCCCATCACCTCGCTGCCCCTGTAAAGCTGCCACAGTTCCTGTCTGTTTAGTGCAGGCCTGCACATTTCTTAATAGAGAGATGCTCAGAAGTCCAGGAGTGCAGAGGAGCTCAATGCGCTTCTGTTTTTGGTTTAGCTCAAAAATGTTTTTCCTGGCTCAACCCACTCATACTTAGGTCCTCTTACAACAAACTAAAAGGTCCTAATTGCCCCCAAGGGAAAGGTTTAGCCACAATAGACATGTGGTGGGACAAAAGCCCAGTACTCTTACCCAGCACCCTCACCCCTCCCCAGATAGAAGGGATGAACACGTCAGCAGTGTCTGTTTTGCACTGTGGGTAGTGCAACCACAGGTTCGACGCTGTAAAACATTATATATACAGTATATAGAGCGAGTGAGGCACTGCGTATGGTTGGATAAAGATCTGGAATGTTTACAGTTTACTGCAAATCCAGTGTTTCCTGTTTCTCTTTGGATTTTATTAAAGGTAAAGGGTCAGAACAGATGTGTGTATCAAATTGTCTCAGTAACCGCACTGACTGTAGCCTGCTATCTTTATTTAAGTCTGGAAAGATTGGAAATTCAGGTTACAACAAGGATACGCAGGGATGATTGAAAAATTACAGCTGTATTATACTGCAGCTGATAAGTTGGTGTAAAATCACAGCTGCTGAGACATGTGTCCAGCAGTGATGAAGAAATACTTTTTCTTCATTTTTGTTTGTTTAAGCCTACTCAGGTGGCTGATAGGTGGTCTGTCCCACATAGAGCAATGCAGCGAGTGCCAATCCAGTGCCCTGATGCTAAATTAACTAAATGCTAACATTTAATTGTAGCAACTGTTTGACCCAGCTCTGGTCCCCACACTCATCTCTCTTGACTCTCATGCCTGTCGAAACATGGAAAGTCCTCATTCATTTTAGCCATCCATAAAGCAAATATTGTTGCACATGCAGTAGATGATCAGTCTTCGCATACCTTCTTGTGTGGTAAGTCATGGGCCATTTGAGTTGCACAGCACAGCTTAGCCACCTGACCTGAGTGCAGCCTGGAACCCTCATCACGCTCAGGCTGTACTTTATTTCTCCGCTGCTCCACAACATTGATATGGAGGAATTCCTGGAAGGGGCCTTGCTGACACAGGGTTGGGTAAATAACCGATTGATCTGGATCCACAGGCATATATTATAAATGTATGTGAAATATCAACATAGTTTTCCCCTCCTTTTTTTTGCTAAATCTACTTTTTTGGTGGTGTGAGATATTACATCACTGTGTTTGCACCCTGCTACTGCCTCAGGTTTTAACTTGGGTCAATGTTTGCTCAGGCAGTCGTGAGCAGAACACACTTTTCCATGTTAACAGTTCACTGCTGTGGCTTAAAGTTGAATATGTAGGCCCGTCCAACGCGTCATTGCTCATAGGAAGACTTTATAATTATGAATAGACTTATAGTGATGCGATGCGTACAATTATGAAGGCTCCCCTGTGCTCTGTATAATTATTGCAGCTCATAGTTACGCTGCCGGCTCACAGAGGCATGTAATACAGCTCGCCCATAAAAGACCACTTAGTTTAACAGCG